ACCTTTAAATTGCTTTGAAGGTCAAGGTAAATTTGAAGTCTCCCCCTCCCCTCTTCCGAACTCAACAACTTTCGTAAGGGTTATTTTCGGATTGGTAGCTTCCCTGACGAGATATTCAGGTGCGTAATTTAAAATGGGACACCCTGTATAATAAACTTATACTAAACATGGTAAAAATTTAGTTTAGAAGATGACTTTTTGTGATTTTAAAAACAGTACTTATTTGTTGAAAAAATCAGATCGTGTTATAAAATTTTGTTAACAAAAACACGTCACATTTATGAAAAAACGAGAAAAAACTGGAAATTATTATGCTTAATCATAAATGTCATTGGTTGTCATTATACATTCTTTTCATTGATTCATTATTATTTACTTTCTCTATAACTAACACTACAGAGTATTTTAAGTTGGCAACGCTGCGAAGCCTTGTTACAATTAGTGTCGCCTATATTTTTCCAGTAATATACATATAAAAATAAGGTGATTCTCTTCAGGCTGCTTACCATGCAATTTCTGCAGCTATAAGAGGTACAAAAGGTACAAGGTACAAAGGTAAAAATTATTATTAATGATTTAATTCTGGGAAACATTTTAATAATGATTATTCGCTTACAAAATTTTGGAAAGTAATAGCTGATATTATAATAGATTCTAAGTAGGTATAATATGGAAGGTGTTCCAAAAACGCTCCACCAGATACAGTTCTGCTCAAAATAAGTCAATTTAGCTAAACTTACCTTAGTTCAAAGTTGCTCCGTTTGGGCGGTATACGGCCCTGAAGTTGAAATTTGGAAATCTGTTTTTGGTAAGTTGACACTGATCTTATAGGGCAATAAACCCCAGATCAAAATTATTAGTAATATCAATCCATAATTCTACGCCAATGGAAATAAAAATTTTAAGTATAAAATTTTGATTAAATTATTTACTACTAAAAAGGTAGTCTTGATAAGACACGATAACTTTCGTGATTTATTTGAAATTTGTAATTTGTAAATCGACTTACTTTGAGCTGCCCTGCATCTGGTGGACCGTTGTAAAGACCTTTTAGGTACACCCTGTATAACAATAAATTTCCCTTATTGTATATTTTTGAAATTTCTCCATCTAGAAAATTAGAAAACGCAGATACACTCTTTAAATTTGTACAAAACGACTATCAATTTTTCGATTCGTCTCCTCCTCGATCGTTTCGAACTTGTAGTTATATTCCCGTGCATTCTCCGTTTTTGTTTTTGTTGGAAAGAAGCGGCGAAACAGCGCCAAAATGTAAAAGTAATGCAAATAAAAGCCCCGGGTACAGTTGCATATTTTTCAGCGTCGGGTCCTGAAAAAAAAAGAACCCGGACCTAAATCAAACATATCTTGTGTGCGCATTTCGCTCGCTGCTACATATCTATCTATCAAATTATTCCATACAAATTTGACGTCGAGGGAAATGGCGGTACAGGGCCGTACTGACACGAAATTCAGTGAGAGTTAACGGACAAAAATGACAGTTATTTTTCGCTGATTTTCTAAAATCGGTTTTTAACTGGTATGGAGTAATAAAGTAATATTTAAAGTTAATATTAAGAGTGGTTATAAATTAGACTTGAAATCAATTGAGGTATTAGTAGTAAGGTCATTGTAGGATAGAATAAATTGTGAGTAAAAATGGCAAGTTTTTCGAATTGTACTCATGTTACATGTCTAAATATTATGGGTTATCTCAAAATAAGAGAATATTTCTTATTAAATGTGTACTATACTGAAACATTCGCTTACAGTGAACAAGGACCAACCGTTACGTTTACGCTCGAGACAATGCGATCGCTATTGGTTGAAGAGAATCCCTTGAAAAATTACGCCAGTCACAATCGGTGAAACAGAATATTATGTTTTAATGTAATTTTGATCTTATGGTTTTAATCATGTACGGCATATTTCAATAAGGTCCAAATTATTATAGCAAGTTTATCTTACAGTTAACTAACTGGAAGATTAGAATGTGTTGGTGTCGATACGTTTTAATTGCAACAAATCACATTCTAAGCTTATAGTTAGTTAACTGTAAGTTAAACTTACTCTAAATAATTTGGCCCTAAGCTCCGTAAATGTCAATTATTAAAATAAGCGACCAAATTTAGTTCGTCCTCATGTAGGTTGAATTATCTTCATTAATAAAAGTTGTCCATCGGGAGCTTCTTGTCTAAATGTTTCTATTTCCACTTCGTCAAATCTTACATTTTTTCGTACAGTATCGGATCGTTTTATTTTTTAAGTAGAGCACCAATTTTGGGAATTTGTATTCAAAATGAACTAGTAACACATTATCAAACATTTTCTTCTCAGTGACTTTTTGAAGTATGTATAATCTGTTTTATATTGTGTAGCAGATTTTTGAGGAGTCGGTTACGATACTGCACTTTTTTTTCTTTGAATGGTGCATTTTATTTTATACATATGAAACCAGTAAACATTCTTTTTTAGTAGAATGTTGTAGATTCTAAATACGGTATTACTTTATTTTAGTCGTTTATTTTGAAAAAAGTTCACTGTAATATTAGCATGCCACTGTAAAATTAGAACAGATATGGTAAAAACTGAGTTAATTCGTTTCTAACTTCATCGTCTTTTATCTTGAAAATGAACTAGGTACTATTGTTTGAACTATTGCCATCAATTTTTATTGTAGAATTTAGAGATGGTAGAATTTGGCCCATTCCATTGCAATATTGCAATATTAAATATACATCTTATACAGGGTGTGTCATTCCCGCTGCCAATATCTTCGAAATGAAGAAATTTATTTTAGTTCCGGAAACTGCGGTTGTTAGGTCTCTCGAATAGCTTCAAATTGCAGTTAGAATTGTTAGGTCAAATCTTTCTGTATAGATGGCGTGGCGATTCCTGAACGTGGAAAGGTGGTCCATCTGAAAGATCGTTAAATTTTGAGTAATTTTTGTAATATAAAGTTTTTCCCAATATTTACTTGTTTTTGAAACATGTCGACTGTAACAGGAAAATCTATTGTATTATTTAAGTTACACTGAGACAAAATATTCTTTTAAAATATTGTTATGATGGCTTTATTCACGCGACATACTAAGTAACAGACAATAAATTATAAAAAAACAGATGATCAACTACAGAAAAAAATGTACAATGGTAAATCTTATAACTAGTATAGTTAAATTGAAAGACGCAAGCTGACAAAACTGTAATTATTGCAAAACTAATATGTGTCATACATGTTTCATTTTAAACAAATGACATGAGCCACCGATGACTGAATTGTTTAATAATATTTGATAAAATACGGTTCGTCTCTGCCCCTTATAAGATTTACCATTGTACAATTTTATTTCAGTAGTTGATCATTTGTTTTTTTTATAATTTATTGTTAGTAAGTATGTGGTGTGAATAAAGCCATTATAACAATATTTTAAAAGAATATTTTGTCTCAGTATGATTTAAATAAAATAATGGATTTTCCTGTTACATCATACATTGCCTATTGAAGTGGACATGCCTAGAAAACAAGTAAATATTGGGAAAAACTTTATATTACAAAAATTACTCAAAATTTAGCAGATGACCCGCATTTCTACGTTCCAGGAATCAAAAATTATTTTAGTATCGCCACGCCGTCTATACAGAAAGATTTGAACTAACAATTCTAACTGGAATTTGAAGCTATTCGAGGGACTAAAATAAATTTCTTTATTTCGGAGATATTGACAGCGGAAGTGTTAAAAGACACACCCTGTATATTTAAAATAGAGGTTGTTAATATTATGTAGTTTTTAATTATAGAGAAGTCAGCTCACTTATTTAAATCTTTTGTTCACTTGGTCACTTTCTTTTTTAATATTTTAAGTTAAAGCCTGCACATACTAAAATCTGATCGATAACTTATCGTAAATGTCGATTTTTTTTAACAAGTATTTTATAATTAGCTCTCATATTTTTTACTCTATTGGTAAACAAATTCAAAGTAATTTTTCCTAAAAAATCCCATTAAATGAAGTTAAACAAAGTTCTGCGATACCAAAAATCTAAGTATGCAAAAGACCTCTATTTGATAAGATTTTTTTAGAAAAATTTGTTTTGAATTTGTTTAAAGTAGCTTTAAAATAGAGTCAAGATTGTTACTCTTCGTTTTTATTTTTTATTTTGACAATATTTCGAAACACCTTTCCATAAATTGTTTGACACACGGCTGCGAAGTTGAATTGACACTCGCCGATTGTTTTTTTTTATAAAAAACCTTAATTCAAAAACAAAAATTTCATTACTTGTTTGCTGTCTATTAGTTTCTTTATTATAATTTTATTTTTTTTCTTTCTTTTTAAATTAACCTTCATCTAGAAAGCTGCTTTATCGTGATGATAACTGGGTAACAATTTTCGTTCTAGTCCGGCCCTGCTCGGTGCCGCATGGAGTAGATTTCCGAATCGGTAGCTCGAAGTGTGCATTACTGCAGCAGGCCCTGACAGCCCAGCAGCGCTCCTCTTGTTTGCTTTAGACACATAAATGCTTTCATAATAACAAATGGTCGGATTTTTCGGATTTCCTATTCCCCATTTAAAAATCCTTATGACGGAAAACGCCGCGCACATATTATTGGACGGTGCTTTCTGCGGCTCCCAACCGACAACACTCAATAAAGGAGGACCGTCTCCCAAACTAAAAATGTCTGAAATTCCTTCCTCGGTGATTTATGGCGCGGCGAGGTTTTCTTTGAATTATCGTACTTTCGATTGGAAACACCAGAAGTAATCTATTGTTTTTTTTTTTCGTTTCCCGTTCGGCCGACAGAATTCGTGAGGCGGTGACACCACTGTTGGTGATGTCAGAAAACAAATTGGGTTTAAACAAAATTACAGTCTTTGCTTAAAATTCTTGACACGTATTAATTTTATTGTCGAAATGTCTAAGTCGACAGATGAATGACATTTTCAATGATATTCTCGAAGGAATTTAAATAATAATTTTTTTTTGTTTTTTTTCAGTACTACGAAATGTCCTATGGCCTTAATGTGGAAATGCACAAACAGGTGAGTGTTTTTTTCACTTTCTATAAAAATACCGCTGAACACGATGTCAGTTCAACAAATTACCAAAAGCAAGCTTTTAAGAGTAGTTGTATTTAGGTACATAGTCCAGTCAATATACGCAAAAAAATATGTTGAATCTGGAATACTTTTATTTTCGTAAATTTGTATTAAAATATCCAATAGGCTCTTTTAGTGTGACGTCATATATTTAGGCAACCTGCAACAAATTGTCATAGTTGAAATTGTACAGACCAAATCTGGCCTTTGTGTAAATATACTGTAAAAGTGAACAACTTCAAATTGATTTATTTTTACAAAAATTTGGAAGTATTTAAGAACAACCAACACGTGCTATGTAAAATAGATACACCAATGTGCTTAAAACTTACAAAAAACGATATAATAGAGTATTCCTAAATAAATAAAGTAAAAATTTAAATTAACCTTTTTATTCCTAATGCGCATGCTTGGAAAGAATAGCCTCATATACAGGTGATATCTTGTTGATAAGTCGTCGCTGTCATCATTAGCTTATTTTCTCTTCTTTTGTTTAATCTTGGTATTTTCTAGTTCTACTAAGTATTTTTATTGTTTTTCTTGGTGCTCAGTGTGTTTATTGAGTGTTTTTTTTCTTCAAGTAGTTTATTATAGACGTACTCTTAACCTTAACCAAACTTTTCTTGAATGATATCCTGTTGGCTACTTCGCTTACATGAAATTATCTTTATGCGCATGCTCAGTAACATTGATATAATTTTAATTTATTATTTACTTTAAAAGTCAATATTGTTTTATAAATTTAAATACAGTGTAGGAAAGTACCAATGGTCTATCAAAAGTTACGTGAGAGCGATAAAGTAAGCCATAGAAATCCATGTGATAGACAAGGATGGCTATAATGAAGGCGTCTAATAGTCAACGCCCATTTCGCCCTTCCACAAATAAGAAGTGGATCTTATTTGTGGAAGGGCGAAATGGGCGTTGACTATTAAACGACTTCATTATAGCCATCCTTGTCTATCACATGGATTTCTATGGCTTACTTTATCGCTCTCACGTAACTTCTGATAGACCATCGGTACTTTCCTACACTGTATGTAAATTCTATAATTCTTTTAGTTTGTGGCTTGCGGTTTGAAACTTCTTAAATATTTCTAATATTGCCAGATATTTAAGATTATGACAAAGAAGACATTTTTTGGCACTTATGCTAGTAAATATACCGAGTAATTTTTCATGACAGTGCGCACTATGGGATTGCCTATTATTTGGCGTATGTGACGTCACTACTAAAAAGGTCTATTCTTTAATTAAGCAGTTTTCTTCCGTTAATATTTATTATTTTAAGTAAAAGACGTTTTATGTAAGAAGAAATTAAAAGGAAACCGGCTAATCCTTTCTTCAGTCGTACTTCACTTGTTTTTCAAAATTTTAGGACAAAAATGTGTAGTTTGACATAATATGATGTGAGGAATCGATTTTTGCTGTCAGTGTTAACATATCTCTAAAAATGTGCGTTGACGGGTAGTTACCTTTTGTTTTTGTTATGTATGCCATATTGAATTTTTGCCTCATTAGAAGGAAAAGGAAATTCTCTTTATCTATAATTTATGGAGTTTTTATAAGTAAATATCCAAGGTATTGAATATAATTATATTTTTATTAAAAATATCAAGTAACCATCTGAAACATTTGAATTTTTCTATGAATTACATAATGTAATATTTCTTATTTCTAATACTTTCTAACACAGCAACTTGTAATTAAATAACAATAACAAGGGCAACGAACAAAACAAATCTGTGATCGGCACATTTTTGCTCATTTAACTATTTTTGTATCTTCTAAAATAAGAAAGATACCTGTATTGGACAATTAAAAAGTTGTAGCCCTGCATATAAGCTTTTTATAATCTTGAAGTAAATAAAAAGTTTTAATATTAAATAAAATATCTTCCATAAATAAATATTGATGGAAAAAGTTGCTTATTCGAACGTTTCGCCCTTCTTCACTGTCGGCATCTCAATAGCGACCCTGAAAAAGCATCACCGCGACTGAAACCACTTTTTTTGCAGGCGGGCACTCGTTTTAGTGATGATTCCACCTTACTAAAATCAGTGTTAGAATTTAGTACGAAATATTTACACTAAGCAAGTATTAAAATCCAGGATTTAATTTGAATAACTTGTACAAGTTACTGACATCGTATTCAACCGTCTTAAGAATCATTTAAATGTAACATAACTGGAGGGCTCGAAGTGGATCCTTGAGGAACGCCAACTGTCTCATTTTTTTTTAAATCAAAGTAACCAAAATTTTTAATAAAAAAAGTATGTTTCTTTTAATTCTACGTGTGTAATGTTATTTTTTTAATAAAACGCTTGAAGAGTAAATTTTTTAAATTCTAATCAATTTTTTAACCGAATAATACACTTTTCAAGTACTTACAACACCCGAGTGTTTGAATAGGTACATTTTCGTATCTTCCTTGAGGCGGTTCGATACAAACTTCTCCAGCGAGAAAAGAAAACTCCGCCAACTCCAGGTTGCCACCTCACTTTTATGTCATTAATTTGCATATGGAGACGGGCGAATACATTAGCGGGAATACGAATGCACGTACTACGCGTATCCGAAGCTTTCCAAATGCTCTCAGAGAGAGAAAAATAAATGGGATGCCGAGGCTTACATTTCAATGATGGTAGACTCGCAAGACCGAATTGGAAAAATACGGAGGCGGCGCAACCGTCATTAAAAGTGTTGTAGATTATCGTTATTGAATTATGTTGGTAGCAATGTCATTTATAATGATTTTGACACAGAATTTTCAAAATTCGAATTCTCTGGTGAATAGATAGAATACGGAAAGAAAAATTGACTGCCATTTAAAAAAATCAGCTTTAGTTAAGGAGGTATATCGGGTTTACTCAAAAGCACAGATGTACTTGAAATTTATGTAACGTATTACCCAGTGCTCCCACTGTGCGTCATATTTTTTTGAATTTTTTTTAAATCTAGATTTTGAGAAATTGTTGTTGAAAGTTGTTCATTTTAACATAGGTTTATACGGCGAAGATAGACGGTGCGGCTCTTTTTTTGCCCATAACTGTGAAAAAAATGTAGAAATTGTGAAACAAAACTTTTCCATAGATAGTACACAGTATTATCTTATTTTTGATGTAAAACTAATGTAAGTTTTGAACATAGTACAGCTGTATTAATTAGAAACAGAAACCAATAATTGCATTTCTGTCTGACTTAAGGATTAATGTGGCAACGTCGCAATCAGCTGACAGCGAGGAGGGAATACATTTGAAAGACTTGATAAAAACGAAATTGATTTCAAACATATACATTTTTCGTAGATCCCAACAGATGATTTTTTGTAATGTTTTTAAAAACTAGATTAATTAAAAAAGTCTAGGAAGCTGTGATATATTTATTGGAATAATATATCTAAAAAATTAGTTATAGTTGCAAAACTTTTGTAACATTACTAAAATAGAGATGAAAAACACGAACAGTGAGTAATAATGTAATTTCTATCACAGAACCTTCAAAATTGCATCCAACATTTTCTTCGACTTGGACGAGAGTTGGGCGCGAGTGTCATTTCATTTCTTTAGAACTAAATTAACATAATTCTCGTTGGTTTACCAGATCACATGATTTACGGATTTTAAATAAAGGATACAAATCTTCGCGAGGATAATACAATATATTTGCTATATATAATAATTATATTGTACATACTGTACAGTTTTTCACTAAATAACTTTATTTTAGAATAAAACAATACAACAATGACCAATTTTTCTCAACACAACACCTCGTCAGTCGTCTGTGGTCGTTCTCTCTCTCCCGTGTCCCTGCCTTTCAGTCCGAATTTCCGCGCCATGGCCTTCACTTCTTATCGTTTTTTATAAACAACGTCCCCAGTCGAAGTAATACCCTAACAATACATAGTTTACACACAATACATTTTTGAACGCCTACGCATCTTTACCGAATTTGACGCGCAATATCTCCGATGTCCGAGGTCTGTAGGTTCGCAGTGTGTACAATTGCTAGTCAATTATTAGCGCTGTTGCCAATATAATTTAAAACTACTTAAATATGATATTTTTATGTTGTTAATTAGTCAATATGTGCATATGAGTAGATTTATTTGCTATATATATGTTTATCGCAAATAATTTCAATAGAATTTAATTTTTTCAAATTGGCAGCGGGCTTTAGTCCCATGAGAAAAGCATAGGACCCCCCTGCGCTCACTTCCCTCGGACCCTCATATACCTCCTTAACAAAACTGTATAAAAAAGTATACGTTTATTATACAGTAGTCATAGGGGTCAATTTCTAAACTGTCCTCAAGACCAAGATTAGTATCCTTTTGTAAACTAGCGGGTTGAAATGTAATAGACAATACAGAAGGCATGGAAATGAAAGAAAAATAATGTGAGATCGAGCACAATATCCTAGTACACACGAATACGAAATTCTTGCCATGTGTCATCTATATGCGCAGTATCAATTGCAGTGTTTATACTACACAAGTTATTCAGTATCAAATGAATGTTTATTTCAGTGCATAACCATCAACAAATATGCAAAATTGAAGATTTAAGAAGTCAAATTTCATTAGAAACTTGTAAGGTTGGCATTTAATAACATATTACAGCTGTTTATTAACAATAACTTTTATGTATTGCTTGTGATAGTCTTAAAGCTATTCCGTATTAAGAATACAATGAGACAGTAAGGGTTAAGTGCTTTATATTAGTTCAATATAAAAAACTGTTTATAAAGTAGATAAATCACTTCAATATTAATGTCCATGTCAAAAGGATCGGAGGATTGATTTGTTATATGGTATGTTTAAAATGTATCTCCTTATGTATAGATCCTCGAATTGCTAATACTGTATAACATACATGAAGAAGAAGAAATGGTCGAGTACAGTACCCTGTGGTATTCCACAGAGTTTGGGCAGTGAAAAC